TTATTCTTCACCCAGGAGCAATCAGAGTTATTATGACTCTCCTTCCATCGGTTTTTACTCACGAGGACCCACAGGTACCTTTCCATACCTGACATTTTACAATCTCTAATGTGCCATACTTTTTAATCCTCAAAGAGGCCCGGCATTAGAGAAATTAATTTTCCTCTTTCACAGCTCTCAATGGAAGTCCAACTCTCACTTGCACACCACATCCAGGCAATGGTCAAATCTGAGCGAAACCGTCAGATTATGTGTGAGGGTGGGCTGGTCTCCATCCTCCTGGCCCACTGTCAGAGCATGTTGCTCACTCCTGACCACCCACTACATCTACCTGTTACACGCATTTTGGAGAAGCTCTCTTCCCAGTGCATCACTCCTTCAGACTTCAGGTCAGTTATGCACATAAACTGGAGTTTATATTCAAAGTATTTCTTTTTTGTACTGAACTTACAATATTGTCTATATAACCTTTCCCTCCTCAGAAAATTCCTGTGTTTGGGGGATCCTCTCATGTGTTTGGGAGACAAAACAGCCAAGCAAATACAGTCAGAATGTAACCCAGAAACCAACGGACCTGTATCAAATGGTACACATGTCAGGTTTTTTTTTTTTTTTTTTTTTTAATCAATAAATATTTCATTTCATCCTCTTGAGATTTAGCTTTGGTTTTAATACATGAAACACATTAGATTTTGCTTGTTGTCTAAACCAGGTCACAATACAGGGGTAAAGACATTGAAGCGCAGCTTCAGTTTGTTGCAGTCTACAAACTCCATTGGTTCAGCAATCCCTGTCCACCAGATCCTCAGTCTCGTGTCCATGACTTCACCGCGGACCTTTAAACCACACAGACTCTCTTGCTCACCTGCTTTTGTGGAGTTTGACATGAGTGAGAGTGGATATGGGTGAGTTCTTGCTTCACTGAGCTTCTGACTACTCTTGCAATATTAAATAGAGTAGATGATTAGATGGGGTTTTGTTTGTTTTTTTTGTTGTTGTTTTTTGCTGCAGTATCAGATTTCATCAAGTGATAAGAAAGGAAAAATAGTGAGCATACAGTAGTGAAAAGAGATAAGAATTTTAAATCATTACGTTAATAAAATATTGTGCTGTAAGTGTTGCACATAAAATTACCTTATAATTAAAATAAATAAATAAATCAGCCATTTGCTAAATACTTGTAATGTAACATTTTTCTTTGTAGCTGTCTTTTCCTCCCCTCTCTGGCCACAGTGAAAGGCGTGACTGCTGATTCAGTCTCAACAGGTGGAATTGGAGGAGGCAAGTCCCCATACTTTATTATTGCAGATTTGTGCATGATTCTGAATAACTGTTTAATCAGTTCCCTCTCATATTTCAGACTGCAGAAGTTTTCCACCTACAGCTGGTCTTTCATTTACCTGCTGGTTCCAGATCAACAGGTTCAGTTCAGCCTGCGATTCCCACCCAATCCGCTTACTGTCTGTGGTTCGCCACATGTCCCGCACTGAACAACAGTACATCTGTTTGTCCATCTCCTTCTCAGCCTATGACGGCTGTCTGGTAATATCTACAGAGGAGGAAGCATTAACATATCTAGGTGAGAGTACTGTTTGTTCTTGGTATGAACTTAGCAGAATTTGTTTTGAATTTTAATAAATTTTTAGTTAAAAACATCAGTGTTTTTGCAGTGAGGTGTTTAAACTACAGAGACCATTATCCTCCATGTTTTTCAACAGATATGATGGAGCCGGAAGCTGAAGTAAGCAGTCCCACATCTTTGCCTACGTCGCTGAGGTTCCGTTGCTCCAGTATGCTGGTCCCAGGTCAGTGGCACCATCTGGCTGTGGTCATGGCCAAAGACTTGAAGAAGAGCTGTGTGACCTCGGCCTACTTCAATGGCAAAGCAGTGGGGACAGGAAAGGTATGCTGCTGAGAGGAGAGAGGAGCTGCACTGATTCAAAGTCTTACTGTAGCATTCATGTGTTCATTCATGTGTCCATTTCCTGTCAGATGAAGTATATTCAGCCATTCCCTGGTCAGCATGTCTCCATGGACCCCTCAGCTGTGATTGATGTATATGGAGTAATGGGGACACCACCTCTCTGGAAGGAATATGCTGCTGTAGTGTGGCGAGTGGGTCCGTCTTACCTTTTCGAAGAGGCTTTGAGCTCTGAGGCAGTGGGTGCTATATACACACAAGGCACCGCATACCTTGGCAATTTTCTGGCTTTGCGAAACACAAGTGAGTCAGCGTTGCACTAATTTCACACATCTCTAATTTGTTCACTTTTAGTGAGTCATCCTAAATGGGCACTTTAGGTTTAGTCTGATTTTGTCTTTTGTCATGAGTTTTCATCATGTGAACCTACAATTAAGTACAAGTTTAATAGTGTCATAACAGTTCTCATTCAAAAAAAACATCATGGTAGATTATTTTAAATTATTACATCAGTTGCATGTAATTGCACAAGTAGTTTTTCTTAATATACAGAATTTGACAGTTTATTGTGATCCATTATGTGAATCCATCCATTGTGCATTGTTTAGCTTCACTCGCTGGACTTGATATACTTCACCGGTCTATATTTACCTCTCTGCTTGTGTCCAGGCCATGATCGAGATCATGACTCTCTCCCTCTCAGACTTGTTCCTGAGGAGAGGATCTCATTTGGCATTAACCCAGCAGTTTCCACATTAACAACTGTTGTTCAGATCAGAGAGGATTACAACGAGGTGGATTGCAGGCTGATTGCTAAAGAGGTAAGGTGAGCCTTTTGTTGAAACTAATTGTTTGTTGTTTTAATAGATTGTAGTAATCCATGTGTCTAATTGCAGATGGGGATAACATGTCGCGATCAGTCCACCCCTGTGTTCCTTGCTCAAAACATCAGCCAACACCTGAGTGGTACAGCTCGTACCATAGGAGCAGCGCTGGTTGGACATTTTGGTAATTCAAATATTGTCCTGAAACTGTTGTTCCCTATTACTGACACTTTATTTATTCATTTATTCATTTATTGTTTTACGTTTGACTACTTCCTTCTAGGTGTGCGTACGTTCACCCCTAGTTCTGCATCTAATGGTTTTCTGTACGTCGGTGGACCTGCTGTTGTTCTCAGTCTGGTTGCAATGGCACCAGATGATAGCTCTTTGTATGCAGCAGTTAAAGTCCTTCATTCTGTTTTGGAGACCAACTCTGCCATGCAGCAGGAAATGAACCGCATAAATGGATACAAGGTCTGTGAGATCTTCATGTGCTGGAGTAGCACAGTTGATTTATTAAAAGACATAAATATCTGCTGTTTACAGTTGTTATCTCTTTTTATGTGTGTCCTTGTAGCTGCTAGCTTTCCTGCTGAAGATGAAGAGCAGTCTGGTCAGCCACCGAACCTTTCAGTTGGTTCTGCATCTCACAGATTCATTTGAGCCGGGCTATGGATCTGGTTGCCTACAGAAAACACCTGCTTTCCAAGCTCTGCTGTGTGACCTAGATGTGGGTATCCAAATTTTACCCTGTTATTGTTTTATTTTATTTTTGAAGGCTAGTGAGAATCTTAATGTCTCTCTGTTTTTCAGGTGTGGCAGAATACTCCAGACAGTCTGCATCTTTCAGTTCTGAACTACTTTGCTGAAATCCTGAATTCCTCAGGGTAATTTCCACTGTTATCAACGTGTAACCCGACCACAGTGTCTACATATGTAGTAGCTAATTTATTATTAACTCAGATGATTGACAAGGTACGGGGCACAAAAGAGGCTTTTGTTCAGAATTGATGACAGACTTTATCGGCTGTTCTGTCAACATTTATAACGGCTTCCCATCGATATCCTGGAACTGTATGACAGAAAGTCAAGGGAATGTTCAACAGAATCAGCGACAGAGGCTGAAGAGAAGACTGAATGTTTGAGTGGATTGCTGTATTAGATTTTCTGTCTGTGGGAACAGATTGCGATTGATATTAATACTGTTTGCCTTTCCTTCACTGTATCCTCAACAGTGACAACGGGAATGCAGCAGTCATCCACAGCGTGGACATGTTACCAAAGCTGCTATTTGAGTTGTGTGACCCTGCTGTGACCATTCAGAAGGTTGTGATTATTTCTCGTGTCATCACATCTCTCCTTAAGGTTTACTTGACCGCCACTGACATAAGCAGGTATAGACAGGGAACGCACTGTCAACAACAACTGTCCTTTTGTTACATTTTTAAAAAAGTATGTTATCTCATTATGGTTGGTAAGGGCTCATACTTTCTCTGGATTCCTTTTATTTGATTAGACTTGGGCTTTTCCTGGTCTACACTCTTCCTCCTTCCAGTAATGCACCAGAAAGCGGTGAAATATCTGATGTTTCACAAGATGTGCCAGGTACAGCACAAAAAACCAAAACCGTATCTCATAGTGTGTCATGTTTAACTCAAGTTGTTACTTGTACTGAGCCAGGCCTGTCTCCCCTGTGCTGCAGCTCAGAGTACCGGCCCAGCCAGCCTCATCTGGATCCGCAACCAGATGCTGCTTTTGCTTTGCGAAATCCTTGAGCCAGACAACTTTTTAAACAAAGAGTGAGTCTGTTACCTTTTAGCTATCCAAATTCTGAGCATAAAGAATTTATCCATTTTCTTGCTTAACCTTGAAAATTTTTTTTTCCCCCTGCTAGTCAACAGAAGGTCGTATTTGATGCCTTGGGCAGTGATTGGTTCCTGTTCTTCCTTCAGCCACACCTTCATCCTTCCACATTTAAACTGGGTCTCATTCTCCTCACACACTTTCTGTCAAGTCCAAGCCAGCAGAGAAGCTTCAGAGACGGAGTTCTTCCAGGAACACTCATTGGGGGCATGGAAGAACCCTTTGCTGTCATGGGTACATAAAGTTTAACATTATATTTACTTGTTTAATTAGAAGTTTGATTGCTTTTAAGTACTAATACAACCACACTAAACAGCAGTTTTTATAGAGAACGTTACTTATTAATTTTACACATATAAGTATTTCACCTAAAACCAACTAATATCAGTAATTTTTTGCCATGCTGCCAGACAATCTTCAAGCCAATTCTTGGTCTCACGAGTGCGTCAGTACCACGTGTTCTGGTTTTGATGTACTGCGGGAGTTGCTGATCAAACAGTCTCATCTACCTCACGTGTATGAAGCTCTGGCTGCTCTGCTCCAGGGGAAGAAGACCAGTCACACTGCAAAGGGAAATGTGGGTAATTTGTTGTTTATTTATTTTTAAATGTAGTAATCTGTCTTGGTCATAATTTATGATATACTGTAGGTTTGTTTGGATGATATCCTGCAGCCACTTATTGACAACCAAGTGGAGACTCCTGCCCAGCCCCTCTGTGTTGAAGCTGGTTTAATAATGGTGGAATTGGTCAAAGTTGTTGTCACTCAGGTAATATAAATAAGCATAGCACTTCAGTTTTTCACCAGAAATGGATCATGTTTAATAACTTTGCTTTTGTTCTTACAGCCCTTTTCGCCATCGAAGTGCAAGTCAGTCACTGATACATCATGGGAGTCACAGCTTCCAGCAAGCGTGATGCAGTTTCTTTGTCTCATTCATAACCTCCGGCCAAGAGACCCACTGTGGGCATCACCCACATTCCTGCACGCGCTCGCTGGCGTTGTTTTCCCTCTGGATATTTCAGAGGTCTGTGTGGTGTTCTAGTTCCACAAAATTCTTTAGCAGTTCTCCTCTCTCTGCTCTTATTCACTCATTTTCTCATGTCTTTCAGGGGGCCAGGAAGTGCAACATAGTAAGTGAAGGCGAGGATACAGTCAAGAGTCATCAAACCCAGAAACCAGTCCTTGATTTCATCCGTATTCTTCTTATGGACAGTCTTCTCAATGTGTCTGCCAACACCAACGCTCATCCTTTTGTTCTGCTACTGGAGGTGAATTTACATGAGTACAAGTTATTGTGTAATGTTTCGGCATAAAATATATCAAACATAGACAACATGTCCTTATCACAAACAAAAATATATTTCCATTGAAGAGGCCTCTTTAGTTTACACTAATACTGTAAAACTCTCATTTGTCCAGAAGGTGCCACTCTATACTCAGTTACTAAAACAAGCATAGTCAAGCTATTCTCAATTAAATTATTCACCACTAGGAGGGCAAAGCACAAAGAGGGCAAGCAATGCAGAGTTCTACACGTTTTCAGCTAGACACTGCAAGTGCAGATGCTGATGGCAACAAACATCAAATTAAAAGAGAAAACTTTTACCTATCAACATGTTGTCTCATTAATCTCTAACCACTTAACTACTTAAATGTTGCAGTTTTCCCCTGATGGTGCATCATTTGAACAGAGCCAGAGTTTTCAGAGTGAGTTGCTGGAGCTGGTCATAAATATCATCTACATGCTCAGCGATGAGGAAGACAACAACACTCATCTGAGTTCACAAGGTAGAATTACAATCCATGCTTTATACGAATACTTGAATTCTGTACACAAAAGTGTGTTTACTTTTTTTATTTTAATTTCCCAGACTCCAGTAGCGAGAGGCCTGAAGGACGGATGGTTACACTGATGGAGAATGTGGTGCTTTTCAGTCAGACTTTGCTATTGAAACTTTACATCGGAACTTATTTGGCAGACTGTGAGATTTTGCTCAACTTCCTCGCAGATCAGATTGTGGTGGTGAGACAAATGCACATACACAAACATGCATGTAATGGTATGTGAATGTTTCCTCTAAAAAGTGTACATATTAAATTAACAAAACTTGCAAAGCTGCTCTATAAATTGTTAATTTGGAGACAATTTTATAATCAGTGGGAACTTTAAATTATGATGGTGCAACATCTGCCCACAGTGCGCAAATGACTCATTTTGTTTCGGTTTTATTTTAACTGATGATAAATGCAATGCTGTATTCTTCTAGGCTCTAGAGAAAGGCCAAAGTCAAAAAGAGAAGATTGTGTCTGACCTCTACTCATGCACCAATAAAGTCCTCCTTTACTTCTTGTCTCAACCGCGACATTCCCAAGAAGAAAAGGAAGTGGTCATCAAGGCATTGCAGACCTTAATGGAACGCTGGGATGTTGTAATGGCAACTTACAATGGAAATGCCAACTTTGTTACTTGCCTTCTTCACTGTTTGTTACTGATACGTTCTGGCAGGTAACAGAAAAACAAAACCCACACACAAGTGCGCACACAGTGAAACCTGATTCACTGGTAATTCACACTCTCACATTTTTGTAGCTATCCTGAAGGTTTTGGGTGTGTGGCACAAAAACGGAGCAGAAGTTCATCCAGCCTGTCTCTTGCCAAAACTAAGCAATCCAGATCCCTCAGCAATGGAGGAGATGGTTTGACAGGTATATGAATTTTCCTTTACATTTACCACTTTAGTCTGACATTTTGTCAATTTTAAGTCCACCAGGTCACTCAGAAAAATTTGGTGCTTGTGTGTTCCAGATGAGAGCCAGCTAGTGTCCTTAGTGGAGGCCTGCTGGTCAAAGGTCATATTGGAGAGGCAACGCATGCTTGAAGAAACCTATAAGATAGAGATCTCAGCGAGCCACAAAGTGCAGACAGAGCCTGTCAGCATGACTGACATTAGTCCTCTTTGGGAGGAGATGGCACGCAAAGCCTGGCTTCTACACACAGGTTAGTTCCTGCCATGGGAGGTAATGCCTGACCATTAGTGCCATGATACTGACATCTAAACCCTGACTTTCTTTCAGAGTATCAGAATAAGAAAGTGGCCAGCAGCTCTCAGAAGAAGTTTGACATCAGCAGTGCTCTTCGCTCAGCTTTGGGAAAATCAGTTCCAGAGTCAGTAACTGTAGAGGTAATTGTGCACTTACGTTGTCTCAGTATTTGGTTCTTCTGCACAGAGCAGGCCCAAGCTCTGTGACTGTTGCCCCCTGTGAGGATTGTGGGGTTGTTACCTTTCCCATGTGTCTCTGCATCCTAGAGCTCTGTGCCAAACACTCATCCCAAAGTCACCACTATCCTTGTGCTGTGGGCCATCCAGCCCTGTGGGGGTGTTTGATTATTTCTTTAAATAGATTTGGATTATCACAGCTGATTGCCCCTGAGTGGGCATTGTAATTGATATCTGTTAGGCCAATCCATGGGAACACTCACTACAACACACTGTTTGCAGCTGAAGGTTAAAGACGCGTTTATTGTTGTTTTTTCCCCCCGAAAAACACGTGGCCCACATCATTAGTTCCCCCACAACGCTTAAGACGTCGAGCCATCTGGAGCAGGGAGCAGGGACATATTACTCAGGCACACAGGCATGAAATTACCGCGTCTGTGTGTCTGTCTCACACCCTTAAAGTGTGTGTGTTCTTGCGCACGTCTCTTGCCCACAGAAATCGGGTTGGCAATTATAGTGGTACCAATCTGATGAAAACATTATTCATTTGATGTTATTCTTTATCATATCAGTCTTTGACAGGCTATCAGAGAGGGTGATGAATTGTTTTTCCATCTGAGATGCAGGAAAGAAGAGGGAGGAGAAATTTTTTTTTTTCCCTCTCTGCAGTGAGTTGCACCACTTTGCTCAAAATAGGTTGCAGCATGCACTGAGTGCTCAGGAAAAAAATGGAATCATCAGCTACGGTCAGCCAGTCAGCTCCCTTTTTTTTTTTTTTTTTTTTTTTTTCTCCCCATCCTTCCTCATGAAGAAACAAGTGAGTCATTAATTAATTTCTGGATCATCAACTTATGACCTTTGTTTGGCATGTGACGAGCTTATGGGGAGTCTCTTTTCAGACACAGGATCCATGGTTGCATAGAGCACTGAGCATAGTTTCTTGGGCTCAGAAATGTACATTTATTGAACAAAAAAGAGTTTTAAAGCCCACTGTAGGTAATGAATGAGAATATAGAGACTGATAGGCAGACTGTGTCCTCAGTCAAGCTTCAGTGCAATCCTTCCAGAGATTTATTTCATCACCGAATGCAGTTTCCATAATCATATCTGTGTCCTCATATTAGAAAGATAATTAACAGCACTAATGATCACGTTAAGTTCATTACACATTCACTGCCAGCCCAGAATGAAGTTGACATTATGTTGCCTTATCATCAAAGGTGGCGTATTGTTGGGAAGTCATTAAAATGGAAATGAGTGTGATGTTCTGATGTTAATTGCAGAGGGAAGAGATGAGTTATGTATTTAATGCAGCATTTAAAAAGCCAATGAGGTTCCTATCTGCTAAATGGGGTAATTAATGCTATATATTACTTATGTTTGTCAAAATGAAGGAATGAAATTAGGAGATGATGACGCCGACTTGCTGTTTATCTGTCACAACATGGCTCTAGCTTGCAAACTTCATTATTACACTCTTTTCTGTCTGTAATATTTCTATAATCTCCCCTCAGATTACCCCTTTATTTCTTTTTCCCTACAACTTCTCATTTGAATAGGCAGTCAGTCATTTAGAGAAACACTTTTCATTCTCTGGCGAGCTTGTCAAAGTTTGGAACATTTTTGGGTTTCACTTTTATTCTCTCCCCCCCCGAATTCTTTTTCCTTTTTCCTGCATCTCTTGTAATGCAGAACTAGTTGTTTTTCCTTTTATTCTACTTGAAATCAATTATTCTGTTCGTGGGTTTATAGTTCACAAAATAGAATTAGTATCTGTAAATAAGACTCTATATAAAGACTTACCGCATTTTCATTCAGTCAATTAAACGGCTTTCCTGGGTCAGCTGTGAGGATGGACACATGTTGTTTCACTAGTCTCTCAGCGAGCACTGCTGTGATGATGGGCTTAATGAAGCAGTTAACAGTCAGAATATGATCCCAGTGTGTCTGCTGAACATGAGCATCCTGCAGTGTCAACACGGCTTTGTTTTATTTTTTTCCCTCATTTTTCATTTCTATCCTCTTTTAATCGACGCATAAACTCTGACTCGCACAATATAAAAGCATAGACACACACTTACCTTGCCCTTTACGGTGGTGTGGCTCAGCAATATTAATGTTTATGTTAATTAGATAATACCAACAAATGATTACATTTCCAGACAGGGTTATTGTAAGACTGTAGCCACTAGCTTATTTTGCCCAGTGAATGCAATTTAGAGCAGATGTAATTGCATGAATGCATTGTAATTGCATGAAGAAACAACAATACTATTATGCATATACAATTTATGTGAACATGATGTGTACTGTGTGTGTTTGTACGATATGAGCTGGGGGAAGAGTGATTGTGCTGCCCCTCTTTTCATTTGCACCCATCAGGTTACTCTTGTTGCTTTGCAGGAGTTTTTGTCCAACATGGAATCGCATCGACAGAGAGGCTACAAAGTGTTGGAAAAAATGAGGGCAAACCACTTACAGGTTTGATGGAAATTTTTAACATGAATACGCTGCAGTGTATTTTATTACAAATTTAAAAGCGGGTCTAATGCTGTTTACCTCTGTGGCTCTTCAACCCCCCACTATTCTGCTTCGTTTCGCAGGTACGTGCCTCTGAGTGGGAGCATTTGAGCTTCACGTGGCTGAAACTGGAGGCCGAGCTGCTGAGGGAAAGAGCCGTTTTCGGACCTGGCCCAGGAGTGCTGTTGAGCCAAGATTGGGTGCAAGACGCTGCTGAAGGACGCAATCGAACGAGATCACGTATTCGCAGAAAGACTCTGAGACAGTCCAAACGGGTATAACACTTTTGTGTGAAACACATTTGATGTTCAGATAGTGCACAGTCTAACCTGTTACAATGTCATATGTTTTTACAACAGGCGCTAGGAATGCTGGGTATAAGGCCCGACATGTCCGAAGTTGGCAAAAACAGATCAGAAAGTGACGCGGGTAAAGATGATACCTGATTGTTTAATTAATTTTTTTTGTATTGACTCATTATGCTCAGTGGGGAAATGTATTTTCATTCTAACAGAGCCTAAGCTCTTGTGTGAAGTTGCTGCTGAGGTTAAAGACGAGGAAGAGGATGGAGGACATTTATGTGATCGACTGACTTTTTTCCCTGCACTGAAAGACACACCTGTTATCACCGAGGATCTACCCGACCCTTTAGCTCCTGTGCCCTGCTCCCTCACGCAAGACTGCCCGGACATACGTGTCATCCTGCAGGAGCTGCTCCCAGGAGAGGAGGTACTTTGGGTTGGAGTGTGTGTTGGTATGCTGGGCTGCAAACATGGTCCTAAAAAGAAGCACAACTGCTTCCCACCCTACTAATATTCACAATCATAATTATCTGATGTAGACTAAGGGATTCCAATTGCCCAGTGCTGCTATCAGAATTTCATCTTTCCTCATTAGTATAATGTTTTAATGTTGAGGCCCAGCACAGCTCTTCTCATTCTTACAGTGAGTTAGAAACCAGTGCACATGTTGACAGGGACTCTCATCGCTCCGGCAACCAGCCGCGGCTTTTAATGTTTCTGACAGAAGTATTAATAAAAACAGTAGGAGGTGATGCAAGCTGTCTTACATCCGCTTAGTAAGTGTGTGATGTGTGCAAGTGTGTCCTGTTGTCTTGCAGTGGTTGAGTGCATGAGTCCTGCTGAGCTTCCTGTCAAATGAACACAGTCATTAGCTCTGAAAAATGCACACACATGCACAGACTTAACACACACACATGCAGTAACACACAAAGGGAGACCCACTCATAATTAGCTTGCCAGCGCCAATAGTGTGATTATGACAATAATGTGTGTGGGGAGAAATCAATGGTCTGACATTAGGGCTCTTAGTCAATAAAAGTCCTCCTTTTCTCTCCTTCTTCCCATCATCAGCTAAATCGCTCTCAGACTGATAATGCGTATCTGTCCAGCGCACAGTAAGGAGATAAGGAAACAAGTTTATTGTTATGTATTTAATCTTTGATAACAATAAATTTAACTATTTTTTTTCTGAAATATAGTCATTGTTGGAGACAGTAGGCTGGGTGCCAGTTTGCTTTCACTGTTGGAAACTGCTTCACAATCTGAACATGATATAACTCAGTGCAAGATTTCTCTACCATGTCGCTAAGACTCACTCACCTTGACTCTTCTTAAACACTTAAGTGATATTATTCATAGCGTATCCCTGCGTGTGCATTCAGACAAGAGGTTCTGATCACTTATCAGGTTTTCTATTGTGTGTGTGGCAGTGATTAATTCTCCTAATAATGGCCAGGCAGGGCCTTCTCCTCCGTGTGTGTGTGTGTGTGTGTGTGTGTGTGTGTGTGTGTCTGGGGGTAAGGAGTCTGATTTGATTAGTATAAATTGTGAGGAGCCTGCGGGTGTGTAAGGGCCCCATATGGTTTTTGGGCGCTATGTCTCAGAGGGCCTGCAGAGGGGCCAACACATGGAGACAGCCAGGTGCATGCACTCGTGGTGAAATGAGGGGAGACAATAGAATTATCCACGCATTATCACAATGCAGTTAGCATTAGCTACAACCAGTACTGAAAGCAGCATGTGGGTTCACTTTGGCACTGGATGGAACACACACTGCTGGAAAAAAGGGGGCCGGGCCTGCTAAACCCCATCAATCAGTTCAGATAATGAAGTGTTCAACTGTGTCTTTTTAATAATGATTAAAATATGTGATTAAAATGATCAATCAAATAAGGCCTGAAGTGCCTGTGTTGCTGCCATGTCATGTCCTTAGAGATTGAGCGAGATGGGCGCTGATGTGGATTGTGCTCCTCACATGGGGTTTAATGTATATCTCCTACTCTATGCTCAATGAAATTCAGTTTGAAAGGATTTTACTGGCATGAAAGTTCAAAAGAACAAGTTAATTTCATTTTTATTTCATTTTTATTTATTTAAATGGGACAGTGCAATTTAACATAGTCCAAGTACAAAACATGACACTGATGTGACGCACATACGTTTATAGCTGTTGCTAATTTTCAACAATTGTCCCTTGTTGGGCTTACAATCACAATACATACATTGTAAAGTACTTTACACAATAACAGCAGTATGAACATTAATGCAAGAACTCTTTCTCTCTTGCTGTAGGTAATCTCTAAGATATGTGTTGTGATGGTGAGCGGCCTCAGAATCACAGAGGGTTTGCTGCTGTTTGGGCAGGAGAGCCTGCTCTTGTGTGAGGGATTCACCCTCAGCCCTGCTGGAGATGTTTGTTGCAGGAAGCACCACCCCAGCAGGTATAACTGTGCATGTTTACAGTTCTGCACACCATGGATCTTCACTTGTCGGTCATTCATCATCCTGTGTGTCTCTTTCTGCCAGTGTGAGGGATTCCTTTATTTCTACCATGCTAAATAAAGACCTGCCAGCAGCCAGTTGCAAATGCTGGCTGTATGAAGATATCAAGGAGGCACGCTTCATGCGTTTCCTTTTAGAGGTCAGACACCCATACACCTACAGATATCAATCACATTTGATCTTAAACTTCCTCTTCTTATGCACATTTTATTTGCTCTTATCTTTGTGGAAAAGCGAATCTGATAGAATTTCTGTTTAAAGTGGGGGAAAATATGCACTTTAAAAAGGCTACTGTCCCTCTCTCTGTAACTGTAAGGATGATGCTATTGAGATCTTCATGAAAAACGGTCACTCAGCCTTCCTGGTATTCCTGAATAAAGACCATGTCTCTGCTTATAAAAGGTAACATATTTATATATATATACTGGATAATAAGAAAGATTTATTTTCAGCATTCTGATCTTTGTCTTTGGTCTTTTTCTCCCTACAGGTTGAGCAGAGTAGTGCCAGCCTTAAAGGGCAGAGGAGTTGCTGAGGTCATTGCTAATGCCAAGTAAGTGTCATGAGTTTCTTAGAACCACCCATAGGCAATATTTCAACAAATTTCTTTTTAATCATCAGTAGAAACATTAAGCTTACAAAAAATAGTCACAGCTTGATATAATGCACACGCCCATTAAATGCTGTGTGACTGACCTATCATTCCATCCTTTCCTGCTGTTTTGTTTTTTGATAAGTTGACATCAGGAGACCTGCTGGTCATTTGACTTGCACACATTCAAGCTTTTCTCGTAGTCTCCACAAATCCTGATTGACTGTAGCCACTGAGTTTGGTGCCACCAGGCCAGGAAATGCGCTTTTCTTTTTCTTTTCAGACATGCAATTATCTACTCCTTCTGCTTCCCTTCCCCTTCTCCCTTCCGCACCTCCTTTAATAAGCTTTTCCCTCTCTGCTTTACACCTTTTAAGGCAGGTCCTACACAAGCTGCTCTCATGGACCAGATACACATCCTCCTTATGCTCTGACTTTCCCTTCAGTAATGTCTCATCTTTCCTTTGATGGTATGATAGAGGATTTCGTTTCACATTCACCTTGGTGAGGTTGCGTAGGCCTTGCAGAAATTGTGGTAACTTTTTAAAGAGATTATCAAACAGGCCCAATTCTTGAAGATTTTCCAAGGCCACCAAAGTGAGAGGCAGGTCATCAAGCTGGTTCATTCCTAGATTGAGACTCTTCAGATTAGTCAGGGAGCCAAGGGTGGAGGGTAAACCTGAAAAGGTTAAGCAGTTGTTGGAGAGGTTTAGGTGTGTAAGTCCCCTATGGTTGCCAATGGACTCAGGCACAGACACTAGCTTGTTACTGTGTAGATCCAGCCATCTCAGTGATGACAAGTTCCCAAAGTTTTCTGGGAGTTTCTCTATGAGGTTGCGGCTCAAGTCCAACTCGTCCACAAAGGTTATCTTGAAGAGGCACTTTGGGAATATGGTTATTCCCATGTTGCTAAGAACGAGTCTACGCCATCCATCTGGGGTTGTGCGTATAGCCTTCTTTGCAGTTTTGAGGGTCACCTTTGTCCCTTTTGCTTCCTTTCTCTTGGGCATGGTACTGCAATGCACAGAGAATTACTGAACAAGTCAGTTTAAAATTTCAACTTGGCCTCCCTTTTGAGATTATTTCACCAAGAGACCAATTTACAATAATTTATCTAATCTACACCACCACACAGTACTCTAGCAAACAAAAGGGTTGTGAGTTTATGCGTAAAGATGTGAGCGTGTGTGTGCGTTGTGTGAGGCTGATGTGATTTATTCAAATACACGGGCTTATGTAGGCCTCGGGCGGTGGGGAAAGCATGCTCTCTGAGGAATGAGAGCTCGAACAGCGTGTGTGTCTCCATGAGTGTGCATGTATCACAGTGTTGTGACTGCACTAGTGCGTGCTCACCCAGTGTTGCCCATGGGGGTATTTAAGAGCATGACTCTCTAATTAAGGCTAATGCTGGGGAACAATAGGAGAGAGGCGACACTGGGTAATACAGCAAAAACAAATGAGTGCTGATGCTCCCTCACCATTCAGTGGATTGCGTTGCTTGGCTCTTCTCAGGCAAGAAAAGTGTGTGCGTGTGACATATTGCCATGCAGGTGTGTTGACAGACATGGATGCGCTGTACTGTGTGTGTGTGTGTGTGTGTGTGTGTGTGTGTGTGTGTGTGTGTGTGTGTGTGCCTGTGCGCACAAAGAATCAAATCAGGACTTTGATAAATGATAGTTGGTGAGTGTTGGGAGTGTAATGAGGGCTTCGCTCTTCTCCCCTCCCTGTCTAAAAGAGCAAGGTGTGTGTCTGTTTGTGTCCGTGTTACACCCCAAGGCCCTCTCTCGCCTCATTCATCATCCTCAGGATGAGAGAGGTTATCCACTGGTGCTTGTTCCCATTATAACTCCTATAGAAAACTATTGCATGAAATTATTGCCTGCAATTAGATAACACGTACTGAGCCAAATGCAATGATTGATTTAGTGCAGTTTTACAAAATATTTGGTCAGGAGTTATTGGCGTTCGAAACGGACACACTTTAAGAGGCTCTTGATCATTTGAACTCATTTCCCACGTGCATCCTTATTTCATCTTTGAGTTTCTGTCTGTACTGTACTTTTAAGACTTTCATCCGCAGTTTGTTTTAGGTGCAATATGCCTTTAATTGCCAAGCCAAATGAAAGGACGGACAACAAGAAGCAACTAATCCTTACAGTACTTACAATTTAACAACAAAAAAAGCATGGCAGTACATCATATTGATCATAGGTCTCACTTGTAAATGAGACATTGAGTCTCAATGGGGCCACCTGTATAAATAAAGGTATTCGTCTAACAGTTTACAGTTTATAATTTTAAGGGTGTATAATGTCAAAACATAAATAACGTATACATACCATGCTAATGCTAACATATAATTCTAGTTGTCTGACTTTTATTGAAATGTTTTAAGTATAACAACTTTAACTAAAATAGTGTTTTCTGTGTTAGTGTTAGTCTAAGTTTGTTGTTGTTGTTGTCTTGCTTCATGATCATCACTTGTTTCTGACCTGTGTGGCTATATAAGATTTCTCTTTTAAGTTCTAAATTTAGACAACAGTAGGTTATTTGTAAGGATAGCTTTAGAGCTTGGACTTGTACCACTTATTATCAAAATGGATGAAGGCAGGCACTTACCATATTTTTCCCTTTGGATTGTTGTTAATCAAGTGAAGAGCATTCCTTAAGCTTCTGTGAACTGGTTGCTCATCTCACAGTCTCTCACTTCTGTGCAAAAAACAAAACACGTTTTATTGAGATGCAACACCTTCAAAGTACATTTACAATGATCAGCACAATTTGGTTGGTATGTGAAAGTTTTTGTGATTAAATGACAAGGAAAGACCATTCTTCTATATCAAAATTTTCCTTGCCTTCCTGATCTGAACGGGGATAGTTGAGGTTCTTCTTGTTTTATAACGTTACTTAGCAACTGGGCTGCTTGGCGCCTGGACTTTATTGCCCTGTTACTAGTCCACAGAGGAAGAGAGGAGATTTCAGGAGCAGTTGATCACTTTCCTTATTTAGATTAAGCACATTTAGGCAGGAGTATAATACTGAATAAAATGTTTAGTCACACTGTTATTAAGTATCTATTTTCTCAAGCCAGTCACACACTTTCTTGTAATTAGAGATAAGCAAACTGGTTTAGTTTCTTAAAAAGCAGCTTTTATTGTAGTGCCTGAAGAAATGGGGCAGATTCAGCATGTCTGTTCAAACATCAGTATCACCTGATATGGATCTGTCTGGAAATAAGCTGACATTTAGCAGTGAACAGCTAAAAGACTTTAGACAGTTGTTACTTTTTGTGACTTTTCTGTTTCCTTCTCGCAAAGAGTGGAATCAGAACCTAAACAGGACAAGTTGACCTGTCAGCATTGATATTTCCCAGTCAGCTATAAAAAATAACTATACAACAATACAATACCTAAATAAAGTAAAAACAGCTGACACCAAGTTAGATATTAACCGTTGTTTCTCATTGCTGGGAAACAGGAATTTCACAAGATGATGGTGCCCCTGTTGTCCAAGTAATCATCAACTTCCGTTAGGGAAAAATGGTGCCACATGTCAAAACATGCCCTTCAAGTCATCAAATCTTCTTTCAAACATTCCAGTTTGCTGAAGTAGCTCCAAGTCAAAGAACCTAGTCTTAATTACCTCGTTTCCTCATCATGTGCTATATCCTTCACATGTCTGCTCACTATTTATGCTACATACTGTAGCTCACATCAGCCCCTTAACTGCTCCTGCAGCTGTGTACACACACTCTGTTTTCCAAGTTCGCTCACTCACCTCAGCTACACTGCTGTTGCTGAACTCTGCTGTGCATACATTTAAACTGTGGTTGCTAGGCAACAAAGCAAGCAGGAAAACTTTGTGTTGATAGGCACTGCTCAGTGATCAGCTTCTGTTGCTAATTCAAAGTATTTTCTCTTGTTGTGCTTTAGAAAGACTCCTGTGGTTGAAAAGATGGCCCTTGTCAAATGGCAGGTAATGCATGTTATGATTTTCCATAAATTGTTTGTGCTCACAGATTGTTTTGGGCAGACATCCATTGCCAATGTTGAAGGAGCAGCCAACAAAGTTGAACAAATGGCATTGATGTAGTCCACTTTATTCTGAATTGACTTGTTTCTAAGTTGTGTTTTTTTTCTTGTCTGTCCTTTAGAAGGGGGAGATAAGTAACTTTGAGTACTTGATGCATTTGAATACGATCGCTGGGAGGACATACAATGACTTGATGCAGTATCCGGTTTTCCCCTGGATCATTGCTGACTACAAGTCAGAGGTAAACCTCACACATGACGTCTCTGTCTTAAATATTGTCTCAAACTGTGGTTTTTCAAGAGTCCACAACCAGAAGCTAACGGGTCTGCAAAAGATTTGCTCTAAATTGTAACAATTTACTCTATCAATCAAAAGTGCATCAATGAAGATGGGGATTGTTAATTCTAATTTTAAAAAAGCATTTTGTGTCCATTTTTATCCTTCCCTGCTGTAACTGCAACATGTCACATCAGGTGTCACTCATTTCTCTCAGGGTGAAACAAATCCTTCCTGCTGCTCTGTAGCTTGGCTTAGCAAGCTATCCGGTGAGCCTGGGGAAATTTCAGTTGGCCCAAGTAATACCAAGTCCAGCTAAATTGGTCCAATAAATGTAACGGGATCCTTTGAGGGAGGTGGGGACAAAGATGTGTCAAATGTATGATTTATCTGTGTCCTTCACAGATTCTTGATTTGTCAAATCCTGCAACGTTCCGGGATTTGTCCAAGCCGATGGGAGCTCAAACAGAGAAAAGGAAACGGATGTTTATCCAGAGATACGAAGAAGTTGAAGGCAAAGAGAGTGAAGGTATCCATTTGGCTCAATTTTATTTACTTTTACTGCTTTATTCATGTCACTGTTAGTATCTTTAAAGTGATTTTCTCTAACAGACCTGACAGCACAATGCCACTACTGTACCCACTACTCCTCGGCCATTATTGTGGCATCCTTCCTTGTCAGGATGGAGCCATTTTCCCACACCTTCCAGGCGCTACAGGTGAGTCCAATAACAGAAATTTAACAAAATACTATTTGCATGTAGGAAAAAGTAGACCTTGTTACTGACATGTCTGTAAAAGTGGTTTAGATTAAAGATGATGACACACACAGTATAAAATTCAAGACTTTTCATTTGGCAGTCACATTTTTGCCAGTTAGGCATCATAACTTCACATTATTATTAAAGTCCAGAATTTGACCAATTGGAGCAACTCTAGCAGCAAAAAGAAATATTAACCATTTTGCAGAGGTTCATGTCATTGCTGTGGAGTGCTGTGGCTCATAAGACTGAAAACATGCAAAATTTGTTGTGGTTGATAAGGTTACAGCATAAATGAGATCATTAAAGAAGTTTTGTCTTAATTTGTCAGATGAAATGACGGAGAAAGTTGTGTTCAGTATGTTTTAGTAACCCACAGGGCTTTCTGCAAACCCTGTGCTTTCGATGCCCACTGGCATTCATCACATTGTCATTTTTTTTTTTTAAATGTAATCTTGCTATTAATATGAAACTAATGTGAGCTATTTTCAGCTGTCCAGATCCCATTTTAATGCTGTTTTTGGTACAAAAACAGATTATAAGGACATTTTAATATGTATGCAAATAATTACACATAGCGTCCAAAAGAAGCCAGTGGAAATAGCCACAGATGTTACCAATTTACAACACAGCATCCAGTTGATTATAATGAAAAGGCATGCATATTTGATAGTCAGAATAAAACAATAAAGATGTTGAATTAGGAAGCCTTTTTGTCTTCTGAAGCACATAATGGGTGTGTAGTAATATCCATAACTGGATTTACATCTCTAACCCAGTTTACCAGTATATATGCTATTTTCATTCATTGAGGTAATTGTTTTACTCTAAATTACATTCACTCTCATGAGATTCGCATCACAGATGATGGAATTTTACAGAAAGATGAAAAGCTTTCTTCTAATGGTAGCAAATATTCTGTGCTTACATAATACAATAAAGAACATAAAATATGATTCTCTGCACTGTATCAGGCAGACTGCTTTATTAATATGCCCAAAGAAAAGTTTATCTCAGTGATGTTCTGCGGGTCTGACAGGGTTTTGTCTGCTCTCCTCACAGGGAGGGTTTGATATCCCAGAGCGGATGTTTTACAGTATAAAGAAAGAGTGGGAGTCTGCCTCAAGAGACAACATGGGGGACGTCAGAGAGCTGATCCCGGAGTTCTTCTACCTGCCAGACTTCCTGATCAACTCCAACCAAATCCAGCTAGGTCAGCTTTTTGAATCCTCTGTGTACCTAATGTTCGTAAATTAAAACAAAAGAATGTAAAGTGATTAATTCAGACTTCCCTACCCTGTCTCTTGTTTTTTTGTTTTGTTTGTTTTGTTTCTGCGAGGTCAGAATGTGTACTGTATGTCCTCAGTCATATATGCTACATACAATCAGCAGTCACTTTATCAGGTGTACCTTGCTAGTAAAGGGTTGGACCTCTTTTGCCTTCTGTGCTGCCTTCATCATGGCATACATTCAACAAGGTGCTGACCTTGTTGAAAACACCAAATATTGACATGAAGTTGCTGCACAATTGTTTGCTGCCCATCCTGTTCTGGTGACTTTTGACTACAGTCTGTGTGCCCACATACACCCAATTGCTATCATGTCATTGGCTTTTTGCATATTTGCATTAATAAGCAGTTGAACAGGTATATCTAATGAAATGGCCAGTGTATTTTCATCATGTTGGTGATTAAGCAATGATTCAAATGAGAGGAACTCCATGTGGAGTTATGTCCTGATTGGATTCTGAAGCACTCTATGTTAATTTGCATATGAGTGATCAACGATATTGCAGAATTTGCTATAACTATTCTTCTAAGCTTCTGGATAATAAGCTGCATAAGTGATAACAGATATGAAGCATCCAAAGAAATGGTGTGAAATTTAATCAAATCATTTCTTTATAATTCTTTTGTTGCTTAACTGATGAACTAATTAGCTTAATTTGAATGAAAGACGATACAGTAGAAACTGCACATGTATCCCACAGATTGACTGATTAGGTTTTGCATACATTTGTTCATGGTAATGAGGGAGCATATAACAGATCACACCACAGTGGTTTGCTGGAGTGTTCGTTGGCCATCAATGAAGGTGTGGCACAGAATAATAAGCTATATTAATCTCTGGCCTGTTCCTATTACAGTCATGTCGTTGGTCTTTCTTTATTTGGCAATAAAAATATATAGTATGCCACATGAGGATACCACTTTTTTCCCTTTATTTTTTTTAATCAGAAAGGCCTTAAACATTTGCAAAGCCAATTTGATTGTATATTGTTTCTTGGCACATTTTCGCCAGTTGGTGTCAGTCAGTGTAATTGCATGAAGCCGTTGGCAATATTGTGAATGGCATTATTCAAGTGTTAATGCATGTATATGTGTGTCTCTGCACACAAATGACACGCAAACAAAAACGGTATTTACTAATTAAAACACTGCTTCACCCATGTCACCAGTGGCTCCTCTTGATTTCTTTTTCCTACACAGTTCACGTAGTCAATAATGCATATGTGTGTCTTTTTAGGCTGTATGGAAGATGGCACAGCTCTGGGAGATGTCGAGCTACCTCCATGGGCAAAAGGTGACCCCCAGGAGTTCATTAGAATCCATCGAGAGGTCAGTGACACCTAGACTTTCCCCTCCAAACCGCTAGCCTGGCCTGTTGTGTACTCTTACTTATTTACCCACAACACCTAATAATGATAGTCCTTACCAGCTGATGTATACAGAAGATTCACTGTATTAAGTATCTCCGCACTTACATTCACTACATGTGTGGCACTGTAATAGTGTAGGTTGCAGTTTGTTGTTCATATCACAGATGTTGGTCAGTTCAGTAAATTCTCAGAAGGCAGTTTTGTCTCGCTGAGTTTGGTTCAGTTATGTTCTTGTGGTACTAACTGTTAGTCAAGTATAATGACCAGTTGTTTTCCTATACAGAAGATGCATAAAAAGGCATTTATCTGAAGCTTAGATGACAGACAATACAGGACAACAAGCCTATTTAACAGGATTCGGGGAACACATACGACTCTCTCTTTTTCATAATGTCATTATTTCTGCCAGTTGTTGATTGGTTGAATATTCTCACTATCTTTCTTCTTCTTCTTCTTTTTTTTTTTCCCAGCTTACCCTCATCTATCCCTCTGTGGGGTTATTGTACCCGTCTGTTCATTTTCTTTCTGTTTCTACATGATGACCCTCCCTTTTTCCATTCCTGGGGCATATGTGATGGTTATCACTCTGTAATCTACTGAACTACTCTTATTGCCTACCATTCTCATAAAATTAGTGACTTTAGAAGATTTTTTTTTTCTTCCACAGACAAATTAACTCAGGACAATATATCCTTGTTATGATACTTTTTTTCTTTTTTTCCACCTTTCTGTTCATCCAGGACGTGTTTATTAAAATGTGGCGCTAGGATATAGCTGGTCATAATGCCCACTTTTCCTCATTAACTCTTCAAAACCAATCTCTGGCTAATTCAACCCAAATCATTCTTTAATTGTAACATGAAGATATGCTCATAACACAGCTGTTCGGTCTCTTGCTGTCCTGGACTTCTAAATTGACTTTTGGAAGGAATTGTAGGGTACCTTAATAATTTGATTGGCTGTACAGTCTTAGAAGTTTTGTGCATTGGTGTCATATTAGCAGTTTGACTGATGGTTTGGGGACCACAATAATAACGAGTGCTAAACACTGCTGGGGTTTTTTTTTTTTTTTTTTAAAAGACTGTTGTATGCATGTTTTAATAGCTTTATAATATTATGTGACTAGATGGCTTTAGTTTGTGCAACAATCTCCTGCTCTGTTTGCTTTAGGCACTGGAAAGTGACTATGTGAGCGCCAACCTACACCTGTGGATCGATCTGATTTTTGGATATCGGCAACGAGGTCAAGCTGCATTAGAAAGTGTGAACACGTTCCACCCTTACTTTTACCCCCAGAAACGCTGGCAGGACACTAAAGACCCTGTCATCAAGAGCACAATCTTGGGATATGTCAGCAACTTTGGACAAGTTCCCAAACAGGTTTAAAAAAAAATGATAATAATAATGTGACGATGAATTAGTGTAATTGGAGTATATTTACTGTATTATGTATTTCCCATAGCTCTTCATCAAGCCCCATCCGCCTCGCAGTGGCTCTAAGAAAGAAGGGTCATCAACACATCAGCCAACTCCATTTTATTTCAAACTGGATAAGCTAAAGACCCCTGCGCAACCATTCAGAGGTATAACTAAACACAAAGATGTTCAGAGAATATGAAACATATCTTAGAGAATTTCTGGCTTCCTGCCCCTCAAAAGCTTTTTTTTTTCCCCTTCTTTGCTTTTCCTTTCTTTTCTTTCTTCCTTAAAATAAAAAATCTTTATTGTAAGCTGCTTTGTTGCTACAGGCCTTGGTTTCATATTTGGTGTAATTGCGGCAAAACTGTCAAACTATTCTAGTCTTCAAACTATGGTATAAGATAAAAACAAATCTTAATACAGCCTCATGAATGATACACATTAAACACTTTTATGCTGAGTAAACTAAATTGAATCAATTATAGTGATCTTCGTTGTTTTGCATTGTTCCACCTTTATTTTATTCCCTACTATTTGATGTTGGTTATTATACACCGGATGTGCCCAAATCTTAGGGGAATCGTTGAAATGGAGTGAGAATGCCCATAGATTAATTTACACTACAGAAAGATAGAAGCTATCTGTTAGAGCTACAATATGGAGATGACTCTGCTGCTGAGCCCTACTTAATAATCGGAATATCCCTATAGGCCCACTGAGGGATAGGAGATGAATCTGCGAATGCTCAGGGAGAGATTCCTGCATATTACATTTCATATTAAATCTTAGAGTGTCTGATCTGATCAATAAGCAGATAGAGATGAATAGGACGAGGAACACTAAGAACGAATGCAGACAGAGCTTCTTTCTGGGGATTATAGAAGCAGAACTGGCAATCGGATGTAATGATTTTGCCTCTTCCTGCATGAATAGGTCAGTTACAAGCACAATCACTGCCTTACTCCCAGATGCAGGTGCCCCCTAGGACCAAGCCTCAGCTCGTAACCATGAGGATGGCTGTTTTAATTGCCCAGTTTTTCTGTTCTCTCTTTAATGAAACACTTTACAAGTTTACTGAGATACGAAACTCTTTAATATGATATTTTTGAAGAGCTATTATCTTTATTACAGGTACACGTAATATAGAAAAAGGTCATTTTCTTTACTTTTTTTTTTTTTTTTTTTTTTTTTTTTTTTTAAAAGACTAACATTTTTGTGTTGGGTTTGACAAGTTATATATACTGTTCTAAATATTACTGTAGAGCTGTCAAGAGGCCCGGTAGGTCAGATACTGTGCTTGGAAAAAGAGGTCTTGGTTCTGGAGAAAAACCAGCTCCTCCTGTCACCGCTACTGTGCTGCTTCTTCAGCTGGGGATTTCCTGACAACAGTTGTGCCTTTGGAAACCATGCCACAGAAAAGGTATTATGTAATGTCAATGCATTTTACACATTTCCATAACTAGTTGATTGAAGTTGATGCTCATTAAACTTGAGCTCAGATTTTATCATAACATGGTGTAATTCTAAACACTTTATGTATGTCGACTTGTAGACGTTTGCAGTGTGTGAGAGTTTATGTGACTGGGGAGACATATTGTGCGCCGCCTGTCCCAATGTGACCACCGTCATCACTGCAGGAACCAGCACTGTCGTTTGTGTGTGGGATGTGGCAGTCACTAAGGATAAACTCACTCACATGAAACTCAGACAGGTTCGTCTGTCCAAATGTTTGTATGCTCTTGAAATGTAACAGTATTGTTGACAACTTATTTGCAACACACACGCACTAATACTAACCCCACTGTCCTTCACAGCCGTTATATGGTCATACGGATGCAGTGGTGTGTCTCGCTGTGTCTGAGGTCCACAGCATAATAGTGAGCGGCTCTCATGACCTCACCTGTATCCTGTGGGACTTGGAAGAGCTAAGTTATATCACTCAGTTAGCAGGACACACAACCATCGTCTCTGCACTGGCTATCAATGATCTAACTGTAAGTCCACCTTCTGGGTCCCCTTCTTTCCACTGCTCTGTCTCTCCTGCTCTTTTCCTCCTGTCCTTTGAATTTTTTGGCTCACTGTCGTCACGTTGTTCCTCTTCACTCATCTCGCAGCATGAGGAAGGGAGGGTTCTCACTGTTAACAGCATGAATATCCTGTTTGTGTGTGTTCTTCTCCTTTTTGTTCCCTCTTTCTGTCTGTATGTCTGCACACCTGAACATCAACACTATGTTAATATGTCCAAGGGAGAGATTGTGTCATGTGCTGGACCGCAACTCTACCTGTGGACCATGAAGGGCCAGCTGTTGACCTGCACTGACACTTCCTGTGGGCCTCAGTCAAACATCCTGTGCATCAGCTTTACACAGAGACACGAGTGGGATTCCAGGAATGTCATCATCACAGGCTGTGAGGATGGCATTATACGGGTGAGTTTTGTTTTAGTTTTTTCATGCAGGTAAATAACATAATGGTTGTGTGTATGATGTAGAATGTTTTTTGTTGTTGTTAATGCTATCACAATTCTCTATAGCTCCTAATAGATCAGTGGGAGTGTTTCTGTACAGTATTCAACTGTGGCAGTCATTACTTTGGTTTTAGCCTTGCTGGTACCAGCTTGGGTGTCCATCAAAGTATTAATAACAGTATATGAGTTGTGTGCAGTGTGTGACTGTTTTTTGCTTAAGATTAATATAAGCATGTGTTGCCTTTCTGCAATCAAAGCTGCAAACAGTAAATTGTGCTTCACTTTGGAGTGGGTGCCCATGCCACGTGGACAGCACGCACACATAAACAGTATTATTACGGTGTGTGTGTGTGTGTGTGTGTGTGTGTGCATATGTGCATGCATGTTGGTGCATATATGAGTGTATTTGTTATTATCTTGAATTATATTTATGATTTTGTTACTCGTTATGTGTCTCTCATACAGATATGGCGGGCAGAGTACACCAGAACACAATTACCTGCCCCTCCAGAAGAGCCTGTGTCCCCAGGGCAAGACCAAACAGAGAGAGACGGTAATGGCAGAACGATGGGATATACATGCAGGTGTTGTGTTCATAATAAAATGAATAAGAGTGGTCGACAATAACAAAACTGTGAAACCAATTGAAAAGCAACTGCACACAAAGACCATCATTATTTATAGTGTTTAAAAAAAAAAAAAAAAAAAAGAAGACGAAGAAAGAACCATTGCTATCTAATTAGATAAATTCTTAAGTGAGATGATTATTTTTAACCGCTCATCTCAGAGCTAGACAGTGTGGTTTCCAGATGAGAGCTTGTAATGTTCATCCTATCCCTCACTAGCATTAGGGCTAGCAGGAATTATGTTGTTATAAAGTTATTAAACATAGAGGCAGTAAACACTGATGAGTAATTTTGCTGACGTGTGTGAGCGTGTATAATTTAGAAAGCAATAATACCCAGATCCAATTTGGCATATGTTGGTTACAGCCTCGCGTCACCTCATAGGAGTATTATGCTTTCCAATTACATTGAGACAAGTTTTTACGTAACACTGAAGCATTTATATTTGAGGGCTTTTTCTCCCTTTTGCAGCCTGCTGACTGCAGATGGACACACGCTTAATACACTCTGAATTTTTTTTTTTTTTTGGGTTTTTGGGGTGGGGAGGACCACTGAGGTTCTGATTTCAGGCGGGGTGGACAACTGCCCTGTAATTCACTATTAAGTAGATGCTAATGTATTCTCACGAATCCACAGTGAGCAACTCCAGCCAGGCTAAAGGCTGGGAGAGACATCTGGTGTTACATCAAGAGCTGAACAGAAGTCAAGCTGTGTCACAGCGGCGCTACAAAAATAATCCAGCCATCACAGCGCTGGCTATGTCCAGGTACAGTAAATAAAAAGCACCCACTCATAGGAATGCCAGCTGGGGTTTAGTTTCTGTTTATTACTGTACTTTAAACTTTATTCATCTCTGTGTTCGAAGAAAAATAGTATGAGTTTACATTTAATTATATGCAGTATTTGAAAGCTTCTAATTCTCTTTGTATGTATATCACTGCATGCTTTACAGCACAACACCGCATTTCCCTTGCTGTATTCTTTGCAGGACTCATGCTACTCTGTTGGCAGGCGATGCCTGGGGCCAAGTTTTCACCTGGACGTGTGAGTGAAAACACAATTTCTGCACGCCCTTTATCCTCCCAGAGAGACTCTGATGGGAAATTCATTAGTATCTCAGGTCTGACTGCAGCTGAGCAGCAGAAGGTGTGTGTGTGTGTGTGTGTGTGTGTGTGTGTGTGTGTGTGTGTGTGTATTTTCTCAGAAAACAGTGTTGCAACATTTGATGCATTTAGACGAAACATGACTTTTATCTCAGAAAACAGTGTTGCAACATTTGATGCATTTAGACGAAACATGACTTTTACCTTCTACACAAATATTTAATTTTGTATTTTTCTGTGTGTAAATACAGAATTTCAGTATATTTGAATAAAATTATTGATAGACACTTGCCAAAACCTTCTTCTGCTGGTCTCCTTGATTTTTGACTGAATTCTGTGTTGGATTTAATTTAACTTAATTCGAGTTAAACCAGAAGGACACTGGCTAAATTTTTCCAGAGTTGGTGGAAGGATACGGATGAGAGAAACACTCGTACAGTCATTTAAATGGACCCTTACTGCTTTAGCAGAGCTTTCTAGGGCCCACAGCAGAAGCCTGTGGTTGAAATGGGCACTGCTAAACTGAACATGAGAAGGAGTGTATGAATGATGACCAGGGGCATGTGCGCTTCATAAACTGTTCCTGAGAAATGCAGCTTTTTCACTTAAACATCTCTGAGAAAAACTGGAAGTCAAGCAAACACTGTTGTGAAGAGACAAATAAGTCAGCGTTTAATCATGTAAGCGTTGTAATGTTTTGGTCTGGTAAATGTTTGTGGCAAGAAAAATTCAGGCTGTTTAGTTTGATGTGAATAGTTTGCTGGCTTTACTATTTTTTGAGTTTCACAATGTGCTTTCATTTTGCTTTGTAATACGGTATTTATGAGGGTTTTTTGGGACAGCCCATTTTGTACCACTTAAATTTTGCACCGCCTTAAATTTTCTGTGATCATACTGTGTCTAGTGTGTGTGTGTGTGTGTGTGTGTGTGTGTGTGTGTGTGTGTGTGTGTGTGTGTGTGTGTGTGTGTGTGCGCCCAAAGATATTAGAGACCAAATAAACAGAGTATCTGACAAATTTCACACGATGTGGTATGAAACTCGTCCCAACTTGCAGATGAAAAGTGTAATAGCAACATTATCACACTTGCACTCCAGTGAATAAGTGGGCATGTTAGGCTGTTGATTGTGGAGGTTTGTTTGCTTTCTGTCTCCTACTTGCTCTCTCATGCACATGCGCCACTCCTCTCTATCATAAAGGAAGAGGTCTCTCTCTTTAACCTTTGTGTGTGTGGCTAATTGTGCTAAGTGGAGTAGCTTAATAGAGTGGAAAATAGTCCTCATAATTTTCCCAGAGAGCTAGCAGTGACCTTCTCTAAAGACAACGGCTATCTCCATTCTCTCTACATCGCTGGTTTTATGATATGAAATGTCAAACCATTGGGTTCCTCAGAATAATTAAATCAAATAAATTATTGCACCTAGGCAGAACCATCTTGTAGCCTAACCCAATTATAATGCACTGTAAAGCTAATTATTAACCATGATTACAATTAGTCTAATTTGAATAAATGTAGTCATTAGTGGGTTCATTGTAGTCAGTGAGTATGAACTGTGGGGGATGATGGTCTCTCTCAATCTCTCCCACTCACCAAGGGAAAGGTGTGGATTTGCATCATTCTCTTCCTCCACCTTCATCCCATTTTTCACACAGTGACCTTCACAAAATGGCCTGCACCCTTCACCTTTCCTGAGCTTTATGTCTGCTGCTTCTAAGATTTATATTTGCTATTTATGCTTGTGCCACAGTGAGTACACTTTGAAATTAGAGGCACTTTGTGCTGTTTCTATTCTTTCTACTATTTTATTAGGAATCATGCATGTTTATTGTTGATGGATGAGAAGATTGATACGTATATTAGATTGTTAGCTTAGCATAAATACTGGAAACTGTTGGCCTGCCTTTTGTTTGAAGGTGGCAAAGTATTGGATCCATTACACCAGTTTATTAAATGTTTCATCTTATCCATGCTATTGTGTTAATATAGACCAGAGACATGATAGAGTCACGCAGTCAGCTGCACATCCACGATCAGAATCTCCGGTTTCACCACATGCCCAAAGTGCACCGTTGGGTTGAACTTGATTTGATGATTTGATCTTTGTACCATGTTGGAAGCAGCTATCAGAAGATGGGTACACTGTGATCATAAAGGCATTGGCATGCTGAGCAACAACACAAGAAAATATCTTCCATGCCGTTAGACCAGCAACAGCAAACTCGAATCATTGATCCAAGACGGGATGAAGACATGCTTTCATCTTTTTTGCACCAAATTCTGAGTCTTCTATCCAAATGTTGCAGGACAAATTGAGACTCATGAGACCAGGCAACTTTCTTCAAATCTTCTGTTGTGCAATTTTGGTTAGCCCCTATGAATTGCAGCCTCAGTTTCCTGTTCATAGCCAACAGGAGTGGCTGCTTCATCATTCAGAAACGCTTTTCTGTGCACCTTAGTGTGAAGCAGTCTGTCTGTTCTCCAAACTCAACAAGGCACTTTGACCACAAGAAGTGCTGTTCACCTTTTTTTTCCCCCCTCTCTTAGCCGTTCTCTGTAAACCCTAGAGACAGTTGAATGGTTTCAATCTTGTGTAACTTTCATCATTAGACGCAGAAAGGACATTTCCCAACTTTGAAAGATTATCAAACATTCCTGTTATGTTTTTATATGTGTCTAAAATTTCCAGATTCGTAAGCAAACTGGAATCCACCCTTCTTTAGAGAAAAGATGCACTTAAAAACTATTTACAGAAATCAAACACTGTACTCTTTAGCATCTCTTAATATGATGTATTAGTACTGTAATCATAAATGCATTTCAAAACTGACTTTTACAGTGCCTTATTACACTGCGGTAAGAGAGCCTGGACAACAGTTTCTTCCCACACAGTCTCCTGAGTTTATAAAGAATAGTTAACGGTAAGAGCATTCTATAAACATCTGGCTCACAGGCCAGTGATGCCAACAAACAAAGAAACAAAGTTATGAGACCCGAAGCTGCTGTGCTGGAACTGAACACAGCAAGCACAAGCCTCCCATTTACCCACACATGACATTCTTGCATCCAAAAAAGAAAACCAATGTCATACTAACAGTTCATAAATATAGTCCTTCGGCTGCTGCACGGTTCCGATCGGAGAGCTGGATCTCTGCAGGAGGTACCAAGCTTACATGTTTACAGGTATTTCTCCTGGAAGAGGATCTGAGCATAGACTGTGTCGGGGCTGGAGGGTGTGGGGTCGGGGGTGGAAGGAACCGGGGGCTCCTGTCTTGGTCGGACAAGCTCCAGCTCTGCATATGTCAGGCTTTCTTCCTGTGATATTCGAGGCTGGAGGAGAGAGGAATTGGGTAAAAGTAAGTTCAGCTACAAAAAAAGAATTGTTGCAGTATATATGTGCAACAATTTCAGAATTTGCAACTGGAAAAACGGTCACAGACAACTGTAACTGTCAGCATTTCATCTTGTCAGCAAATTGTAGTTTTTGTCAACTTCCATGGTAAACATCTTTTCTGTTTCCCAGCAGCAGAATCTGTTTACGTTGTTTTCAGGACCTCTTGGAACATTTAGTTTACCCGGAAAACATTTGGTACAACAGGAGCCCTATCCAAAATCCTCAGATCCTCCTGGTTGCACTAATCTAATCAGCATGTTCGAGCTAAAGAAAAGCTCACATCTCCAGTGCTTCGTTTCAAAATTACAAGAACGCCATTAGACGAAATACTGATGATGCTTAGTTTGAGTAGTTTTCTTCTGTACACACTTGTTTGACACTTTTATTGAAGATATAAAACCAATGAAGCACTATAAATAAATAATTGTGTTTCAGAAGCAATAAAGCTAAATAGAATTATCAAGCTCATAACTGAATGAAGACATGGCAATAAACTGCTGTAGACAATCATGCAGTCGTGAGACAAATTCCCTCTTGCATGCATCTCAATAACAACTGTGCTCACGGAAAAAAAATCTTTTCGAAACATTAATAAATACATTCTAAAGGTATTAAGTACCTATGTTTCATAACTGATCTTCATAGTTTTAGTTCACATAGGTCTTGTGCTTGAAGGAAGAGACTTACAGTGGCAGATCTCCTTGGCTGAGTCTTCAACCTTCTGGGCTTTCGAGGTCTCTTTGCAGCAACGGGCACTGAAAACGGAGACAACCTTAATTGACTCAAAATAGCAGCCAGGAGGAATGAACTGGCAAATATTAAATTGTGGTTGAAGTCAAAATTGTCCTTCACAAGCACTTTGTGTTAAACCTAATCACAGTGTTGTTTAAAAACGGATGTAAATGCTTTCTTCTGCTGTTTTTAGTGACAGTGTTCATTTAATTCGTAACACACTAGGCAGGAATTTCACATTCTCTGACTGTTTTTGTGCAAGTTTAATTCCTGCTTTTCTGCTTGCTGACAATTTACTGTAATTTATTGTTCTTTGCCAAATTCCTGCTCTTGGGGCTAGGGCCTCTCACGCCACTCTGTGACTCTGGTACCTCTAGTATGTTTCATCTTAGGTTTAAAAGCTGAAACCTTTATATTTTACTTTGTGAAGGACTCTGCAGGACATTTTACCTTTGGCTGGTATGTGCAGTGGAGGCTCTTCAGGTAGCTTAGGTGGCGCTACTGCTTGTGTTCGGTTGGTTTTCTGTCTCATGTCTCTCCTTTGTGCGCTTGGGGAGGAACTGGAGCAACTACTAGAGCTTGTTACAGTCTCTCCTGAGCTGTAAGAAGTAGATAAAGTTGATCTTAATTTATATTAAAGCTAAAAATGCTCTTTTAAAAATGTGTAAATAAATAGACGTTTAAAAATACTTCTGAAGCTCAACACAATGTTTGTTTGTTTTGCATATATATAATTGGCAAATACTGTGTTTGTCT